CCGAAAATGATCGAAAATGACTATACAAATCTGAGGCTCGAATGTCATCAGTGATGTTGCCCTTGGCAAGGTTCAATGGGTCACCAAAATTTCCGGGATCCTCAGGGTCCTCCTTCCAAGGAGAAAGGCCAATATCGAAGCAGCCAATGGCACAGAACAAGAGCCACAGGGCATTGCTCCCTGGTTCAGTCCACTGAGCAGCAAGGCCTGATGGGACACTCTCAAAGCCGGGGAACTTGTAGACACTCTGAACCAAAAGGCCGACAGATCCCATCATGGCCCCACGTGCATGCCTCAACTCAATCGAGCGGAGCTTCTTGAAGCCCTTCTCATCGATATCTTTGGTGAAGCCTGCCGGGTCAAAGAAGCCAAGGGGCTTTGTTGCGCCCACCTGCTTGCTTGGATCAAAGGCATAGCACACAGAACCGCCGGCCCGAGCAGATTGCCGCTTGGTAGTCAGAAAGGATGCCACAGCAGTCACAGCAGCAGCGCCCAGGACACCTCCAGCAGCAGTCGAAGTCTGAGTCTTGGCTGCTGGCTGAGAGACTTGCGCTCCTCGCAATTGGGAACCTGGGCTCGAAGAACTTGGGGCCAAGAAAGCTGGGGCCGCAAGTGCCCCAACAGTGATTGCCGCAGCACCAACTCGGCTCATGACTAGCCTGTTTCAGCTTTCCCCGGTTTTCCAATAAAAAAAGAACTTGGGCCAAGCAAAGGGATCAAAAACAGGCAATCAGTGTAGCATCACAAGACATGCGAAAACCCGACCGTCGACAGAAGCGAACAGCTGCTCTTGACAAATGTGAGTTCGGACATGGCCAGCAGTTCCAATGGCACTGGGTTCATTTTTTAATCGGAGTGGGTAATGAAATGTGTCTCACGTGGAAAAGAGTTCATGACTCACTCCAGGTACCAGTTGTCAACTGAAGGAATGCCACACCTTTGCGATCGAAAAAAGCTCAGTTGCAGCTGGTCCAGCCTAGCTCGTTTCGTCGGCGGTTTGCGGGGGAGCATGGCTAGTTGTTGTATGTTGTTGTAAAACTCGAGAAAAATGTGTTATCATCAAGTACTATGCAACACCTTGTTTTCAACTTACAAAAACTGACCAATGCTTTCATTGTTCTTCCGCATCCAAAATCTGATGCAGGACAAAGCCCTGTACTGAAGCCACAGTCAGCGGGAATGGAGCACTCCCATGTATTGGCTCAGACATGGTCTAAACCAAAGGTCTCGTGTAGTTTGTTCATTTTCTTTGATGTACAATGTACTCCTGACATCTCTCTAAGTACACCCACACTGTCGCCTTTGAAGTAACCCTTTCGACTCTTTATTTTGACAGATCCCCTTCTCTGCTCAACAAAGCTCCGAGCATTCTTCATATCTGCCGCAGTCTGAGCAGCCTGAATGCAAATTTCTGTAAACAGGTTTTCCCAGGGCAACCTTTCGAAAGTAGCATCAAGGAAAAGACTCCACAACAAAGCACCTAGCTCCAAACAGTAAGCTGTGCCAATTGCCTGCGACCGCCTACACAAGCCTGAGACATCCTTAGACCACAAGTGGCAGTAAGTGGCATGTATGAAAACAATTGGAAAAAAACAACAACGTGGTGTGTTCCTATGGTCCTTCTCAACAATCCGTTTCTTCAACTTGCAGCATCCCCCTTGTAAATACGCTTCCCTGGACCCTGCACAAGGAACTAGTTGTACCAGCATGTTCAAACCGCACTCTTTTGGCAAAGGAAGGGAAGTGAAGTGTCACTAAGCTGAGCTACCTAGAAACCGAGCTGGGCTGGAAGGTCGGAAAATTTCTCGCCGAAGACGCCCTCCTGAACACACATGCCGATGGTGGCCATCATTGCAAGGCGACCATTGGACAACTCCTTTGTCTTCATCTCATCCATCTTCTCCCCGGTGATGCCGAAGATATTTGCAAAGTCGCAAGGGTCACCATAATTGCCAGGCTCCTTGGCATAGGCATCTGACCAAGGACCGGTCTCTAGGAAGGCACAAGCAAAGGTCAATGCCACGCAGCCCTTGGCCCCAATAGGATCTTGGAAGCCAGCAATGCCAGCAGGCGCTCCCAAAGGCGTGGCCCAGTGCCCTGCAAAAGCTCCCAAGATGGCAAGCATGGCGATTCGCCCATGCTTCACTTCCGCTGCACGGA